GTATTTAAAACTTTTATAATTTACCTTTAATTATAATAAAATAAACATACTTATTGCTAGCTAATTTTTGACCGCATACTTGACTTATTATATGGCTTGTGGGTGTATAAAAACTAAAAATACTGATATTTATTTTATATATTATTCTTGCCATTTTCACTTATTATGATGATCATTCAACTATCTATTAAAAAAGCAAAATAATTATTAATAAAAAAAAAAGATATATTAATATTACAGCAATTGTGTAAAAAAGTCATTTAATTTAAAGTAATTTACACTTAAAACTTGAACAAATTATTGAAAATAATAAAAACTATGTTTTTACTTTGAATAAACAACATCTACTTAACGCGTAATAACAAAGCCGTCAAAAAGAAGTCATAATGACATATTTATAAACAGGTCTCAGAAAAGACGTCTTTTAGTCTTATGATCTAGACGTCTTTTAATGCGTCCTTTCGACTATTTATTATGCGTCTTTTAAACGTCTTTTTAAACTTTAAAAAGACGCATTTTAAACGTCATTTTAAAAACGCATTTAATAAAGACGTCTATAAGATGTCTTAAAAAAAGATATCTTCTAGACGTTTTTTTAACGTTTAAATAGACGCCTTTTTAAACGTCATTTTGAAAACGTCTTTTTAAAGACGTCTAGAAGATGTCTTAAAAATTGACGCCTTTTAGACGTCTTTTTATTCTTTAAAAAGACGCCTTTTAAACGTCATTCTAAAAACCCATTTATAAAAGACGTTTAAAAGATGTCATCAAAACGTCTATAAAAGCGCGTCTTTACCTAGACTAGTTTTAGACGTCTATAAGTGTCGAAAATACGTCTTGTGCTTACTGGGTAAGTAAACTAAAAAAAGATAAAAAAAAATAGACAATAAAATATACAACATTATTTATTCTTCTGATGCTAAACCACCTTGATTATACGGCTGCATTAAAGCTCATAAAAGCGATAAAGATTACCCAATGCAAATTATAGTCTCAACTGTTGGTACACCCCCACATAAATTATCGCAACATCTTGTTCAGCTTATACAACCTACACTTAACAAAAACCAGTGTAGAGTAAAAAATTCATTATCTTTTGTATTGGAAGCAAAAGAATGGACAATTGAAGAAAATGAGGTTCAGGTATCATTTGACGTTATAAATTTGTATCCGTCAGTACCACTCGATAAAGCAATTATAGCTATTATTGAAATTTTAAATAACGATAAAGATAATCTTCAGCTGCGCACTAATTTATCTTTAACTGACATCCATAAACTAATTGAACTTTGTCTAAGTAAATGCTATTTTCTGTGGGATAACAAAATTTATATCTTGAAAAACTCTGGTCCGATTGGATTATCCATAATGGTAGTAATTTCAGAAGCTTACTTACATTATATTGAATATAATGCAATTCAACAAGCATTAACCATTAATGTTGCACCAATAACATTTAAACGATACGTTGATGACTGCCATGCACGTTTTTCTAACTCTGATAAAGCAGAATCGTTTTTGACACTTTTAAATTCTCAAGACAAAGCTATTCAATACACATGCGAATACCAAAATGATCAAGATCAACTTAATTTTTTAGATATCAGCATTTCAACTAATTATATAACTCATAAATATAACTTTTCTATATACCGCAAAAATTTCAATAACGAATGTACTTATAAAACCGCAGTCTTGTATATCACCGTGTATTGCAATAGGGATATTTAAAGGTTTTCTTGCAAGAGCTTATAATTTATGCACTAGAGATAATATAGAAAAAGAAACTGAGTTCTTAATTATTATTTTTATGGAAAATGGATAATCTCAGCAACAACTTCTATACATTCTAAAACATTACAAACTATCCCAAACAAAAAACCGCCAACAAATTAACACTAGTAATACCATATTACTTCCGTGGGTTCCTAAATTAAACCTTATTCTTAGACGTGAGTTTCGAAAAGTTGGCATAAAAACAGTTTTTCGTTTTGGTAGATCTTTATCGAACATATTATGCCAAAATAAATCAAAACTACCACCAAACAGTTACCCAAGTGTTTACCAACTTGAATGTTTTTATGGCGCTTTTTATGTAAGTGAAACCAGAAAAAAGATAAAAACACGAATAGCTGAACATCAAAAAAACGTGACTGAAGCGAACTGGAAAGCGTCTGGTATAATAAATTGGAATAATCCAAAAACATTATTAGTCATCCCAAATAATTATACGAGAAAAATCAGGGAGGCAATTGAAATAGGCATATTACAATGCTATCTAAAAAATAAAATTCTAAACCGAGTTAAATGCAACCTAGTGACGACTCAACATTGGAAACCATTTTTTGTTAAATTTAAGAAAAACTTTCATAATATTTCGCAGCAATGACATCATTTTTGTCAATAACGAATTTTTTGTAACGTTTTTTAGTTTGAAAATTGTTCCAACTATATGAGCCGAAATATCACATTTAAAATTAAAAAATTTTAATAGTTAAATAAATAGTATATATATATATATATATATATATATATATATATATATATATATATATATATATATATATATATATATATATATATATATATATATATATATATATATATATATATATATATATATATATATATACTATTTATTTAACTATTTTAACTATATATATATATATATATATATATATATATATATATATATATATATATATATATATATATATATATATATATATATATATATATATATATATATATATATATATATATATATATTTATATATATATATATATTTATATATATATATATATACATATATATATATATATATATATATATATATATATATATATATATATATATATATATATGTATATATATATATATATATATATATATATATATATATATATATATATTTATATACATTATTAGTGTATACTCAAAAAAATTTTATATATATATATATATATATATATATATATATATATATATATATTTATATATATATATATTTATATTTATATATATATATATATATATATATATATATATATATATATATATATATATATATAATATTTATATACATTATTAGTGTATACTCAAAAAAAATTTTTGAGTAAATATATATTTTGGAATTTGTCTGTTTTTAAATTTGTTCCTAAAAATTAAAAATGTTATTATTCATGTCTAATACATTTTATTGTCCTTAAACTAATAAAAATTACGTCAATTTTTTACCAAAAAGCTACATTCAATTTTACTTTAATAAACTTTAAATAATTAAGAAGGTATGTGATAAACAAAAGAAAACAATAATTAAGAGAAAAACATAGGGACTTTAAATAAGATTGCCAATAAAAAGTCATAACAATCTTAAGCGCGACCTAGTTTAATAAAGAACCGCAAAGTTACGATGGTACGGTGTAATAATGTCTAATTGTTGTGTTGCAAATTCTTATCCTACAATTGTTGTATTGCAAGTTCTTATCCTGCACCCTGTTTTGCCGTCACTAGCTTGCCACAGCTGGTCCATAAAAAATCCTTATAGCAAAACGAAGTTTCGCCGACGTCGGCAGCCGCTGCTGGTCCAGCGCGACAGCTTACACAGGACCAGTGCGGGATCATTGTATCCTTGCTGTCTTGGATTCTTGGTACCTATTAAAACTGAAAACTGGAGTAATTGAGCAAAATGAAAATTGATATGTAGTTGTAGTAGGTGCTGCGGCGGCTGTTGAAATGATGAAGCTGTGTTTGAGCAAGACGGTGTAAATGTTGCGTAGGCTGCTAAAGTTATTTATGGTAAGATTTGTGTTTGTTTGTGTGGTTGCTAATGCTTTATGATTAAGTTCTTTTTTTTAATTTTTTATTTAGGTGCCCCAAGAAGTCCTTACGGTCTTATCACAGAGCACCGCGGATGAGAATTCAATTGGAAGCTTACGCCTTTTTCCTAACCGATATCGCAAGACTTGCCCAGAGGTGGGGTTGAACCTCGGGTTCTTTGTTTCTGAGGCAAGTGCGTTACCACTGCGCCACGGCTGCTTTATTAAACAGATATAAGCTAATGTGCTGGAAAGTAGCACTAAACGTGTAAAAAATTTATCAGTCTCGTACTGCAGTTTGAGCAACAGTGGAAAGTTGTACTTATTTTAGTTCCTACATTTTGCGTTATTGTAAAATATGGTGAATTTCTTTACACGCTTGTTTGGCAATAGACACCTCTATCTAAGAGTTGTAGAGTTTTTGAAGAATGTCTTAGTAGATAAATGAAAAAAAATTTTGTTTTTTGCACAGCATTACTGCTAAGAGTTACTTATGTGAGCGGAATCCCCAACTAGTACTAAAACATGAATGCCATTTATTTGCTCAGTTTTTGGTAAAATTCTTCAATCAGACTTTAAATAAGGTATTACGCTTTATCCAAACTGATTTTGAAATTAAATATTTGGTGAAATTAGACCTCTACTTGACCCGTCAGGAAAAAAGTTTCATTCAACTTTTAATATAACAAATAGTGGTGCAAAATACCTATTAGCATTACAGCAAATATATATCGCGTAAAAGAAGAAATATATATCGCGTAAAAGAAGCGGCGTATTTAGATGCAAAAATAATCACTCTTCTTCCTGAATTTTCTTTTGAATATCTTTTCATAAAAACATAAAACTAGTCTTTTCAAAGCTTGCCATTATTGAATAAATGCAAATGATTTTTGTATGTAAAGTTGCCACTTACAAATTCGAAGAGTTCATTTTGGGTTAAATTATAACTCCAGTAACCAAGTGACTGGAACACATGCACCTCCATTCTTTTTAGTTAATTTAAGAGTACCGTTGTTTTCCTTTGGGAATTATTTTAGAGACTAGAATGTCATGGTTGACTTAAATGCCATGGTTGAATGAACCTATTTTTAAAGCTTTTTTTTTTTATATAATTCTTGTATAAATATTAATAATTTGAAAAAAATATATAGTTAAAAATTTGATTTCAAAAACATACTAACCTGGTATTAGAATACTATTACAAATTCGACAATCTAAAATCAAAAAACTTTTAAATAAGTCAAAATATTACAAAAATTTTAATGCAAAAATAATAATATAGATAAGTACAAAATATATATTTTAAAGGTGTATCATAAACACTAATGGCGTATCTAGTGGTGTAAATTAGGAAGGCCAGTATTTGGTGCCTAACTTAGCTAAATTGTCATAAATTTAGACAACTACCATGAATTTAAAAACTGATCACTCAGTAGCAATATTAAAATGATTTTTTAACAATTTATATAAAGACAGTGATCTAATATATATATCGATATAAGTTAAAAATAAAAAAGAATCAAAATACATACGACTAAATCCAATTTACATTTTGGAACAAAATGTCTAAAATGTAATTCAAAAAGGCTTTTTAATGAGCATGAATATTAACTCTTTTTAAAATGAAAAGTAAAATATAGTTTCTATTAAAACAAAACAGAAATTGTTTAACATTTGATGGGATAATTGAAATACTCTTACTGTAAATTAGGGTGGGTTGCCGTTAACAAAAACTTTCGGAATACATATATATATATATATATATATATATATATATATATATATATATATATATATATATATATATATATATATATATATATATATATATATATATATATATATATATATATATATATATATATATATATATATATATATATATATATATATATATATATATATATATATATATAATCTTGCATTGTAGTCACAAAGTTTTTCCCATAAACTGTTGTTTTAAAGAGCAGTTAGTAACCCTGACCAGAAAATGTTAAAAAACTTCAAAATTATTATTTTTTTTTTTTATGATAGACTGCCTGCCTAAACCAAACCCTAAGTCGATGTAGCAGCACTCCCTTGCGAGTCAGGCTATTTTTCAGTCGATGTAGCAGCACTCAGTTGCAAGTCAGGCTATAAGATAGTCAATGTAGTAACACTCCCTTGTAGCAGCAGGTTGTAAGATAGTCGATGTAGCAACACTTGTGCTTGTTTTAAAAAACGTTTTTTAATAAAACAAATATTAAAACACCACTAATTAAAAAAAAATTTCTTCTCATTATTATTGCGGTTTTTTTAAAAAACAATAAAATTTAATGTACTTCTGCATTACTTTGAACAATGACATTCAAAAAGGCATTTTAAAATCTGACATTTCTGATCATTTTCCAGTCTTTCTGACTCTTAACTTAAATGCTTCGAATAATAAAAATTCTAAAACAATATTTTTTCGAGATTTTACTCTAACCAATATGAATCTCTTTAAAAATCAGTTATCTCTTTTGCACTGGATCATATTAATTTCAATGGGAATGTTGACACCATTTATGAGACCTTCTTTAAAACATTTTACGCCGTATATGATTCAAAAAGTCATCTAAAACAAAACAAAAGTTGTATATAAAATATCTTAAAACGAAATTGTCTAAAAATGAAAAAATATACAAAGATTATAAATATTTGTTCGAAAAAATTTCGAAAGCGCCTAAAAAAAAATTATTACTCTAGAATATTAGACAAATTTAAAAACAACTCTAAGCGCACTTGGCAAGTAATAAAAGAAATTACTGGCAATCAAATAACATGCTCAAGTTCCCTCCCCAAATGATTATAGTTGATAACAAAAGTATTTATAAATCAAAAGCTATATCTAACGAATTTAATAAATACTTTATCAAAATCGGCCCTAATTTAGCTAATAATGTTTCATTTACTCCAGTTGCATTTAATGATTTCTTAGTACCAAAGGATGATTGCAACTGTTCCAAAGAAATATACTCAGAATTATCTTTTGATGAATTCCAAATCGCCTTCAAATCACTAAAAAATACAAGCTATCGGAGCTGATGGAATAAATGGTGACATAATTATCGAGTGTTTTGATCATCTCAAAAATATTCTTTATAAAGTTTATAAATCATCTGTCCATCAAGGAGTTTTTCCTGATCGTCTAAAAGTTGCAAAAGTTATTCCAATTTTGAACGAAGGAGACTGTTGCAATATCAGTAACTATTGCCATATATCTATCCATTCTACCTTTTCAAAAATCTTAGAGCGTATTATGTACAATAAAATATACAATTATTTTGTCTCCAATAATCTTTTTTATTATAATCAATTTGGTTTCAAAAAAATAATTCTACCAAACATGCAATCATCCAATTTGTACGAGAAATCTCAAATTCCTTTTAAAAATCCCAATATACATTAGGTGTTTTTATTGACTTGTCGAAGGCTTTTGATACTGTCGACCATGAAATCCTTCTTGAAAAACTAAAATACTACGGATTAAACTATATAACTATAAGATGGCTCCGGAGTTACTTATCAAACGGCAAACAATTTGTTTTTATTAATAACTATAACCAAAGCCATCTACTAAATATTTCCTGTGGTGTTCCCCAAGGCTCTATCTTAGGGCCATTTTTGTTCTTAATCTATAAAAATAACTTAGATAAAGCCTCAAACTTAATGAGTATCATGTTTGCCGACAACACCAATTTATTCCTGACCAATAATGACATATCCAAACTCTTTTCTACAATGAATGATGAACTCAAAAACATATCTACTTGGTTCAAATGTAACAAGTTAACTCTTAACATTAACAAAACCAAATGGGCTCTTTTCCATTCACTCTCTAAAAAACGCTATTTACCCCAACATTTGCCTAAAATATTTATTGATAAAGTTGAAAAAGAGATTTTGTTACTAAATTTTTAGGAGTGATTCTCGACGAGAAAAATACATGGAAACCGCATATAGAATATATCTGCTCAAAAATATCTAAAAGTAACGGAGTCTAATGTAAATCTAGGTTATATTTACACAAAAAAGCCTAAACCCAACTCTATTATTCATTTATTCACACCTATATTAATTATGCCAACATTGCGTGAGGAAGAACCGAAATAAGTAAGCTAAAATGCCTTTTTCGCCGTCAGAAACATGCAATCCGATTGATTAATTTTGCGGATCGTTTTACTCATTCCAAACCATTATTTATGGAGATGAAAATACTTAATATTTACGAGCTCAATGTTTATAACATTTTATGCTTTATTTACATGTGGAAAAACGATTTAACTTTACGTGTCTTTAAAAACCTTTTTTCTCTAAACCCAATTACTAAATATTTATTTAGAAATAAAAATTTTGTACATAAACCTATTTGCAGAACAAAATTTAACAAATTTTGCATTACATTTTGAGCACCCTATCTTTTGAATAAAATTGTTATACCTAATTTTGATATATCCAATACATTTCTGATCTTTAAAAGTAAACTTAAAAATTTTGTTTTATCTATTGATGATATATTTAAATACTTTTTATAACAATCACGTATTTGTCTTTTTAATTCTAAGACTGTTGTATTTTCTCTAGCCTTTTAAAAAAAGAATTGTATTACTGTATTTACTATGTATATATATATATGTATTTATATGATTACGTTTTTATAAGATCTGATGATATAATCAGACTTTTTATTATTAATAACATAAGTGGTTTGATTTATATTTCCAGTTTATATCACAATTTATTGTAATTTTTTAGCTTTGTTATGTATTGATTTTAAAAAAATTGTAAAAGGTTCTAATGATAAGATCATTATGATCTACTTTCAGAAGCCTTGTCTGTTTATCTTTGTAAACAACGAAAAAAATGAAACGAAAAAAAAAAAAAAATTAATTGCTTTAACATTTCGATGACAATCAAATACAGCTATATCCTTATAGTGTAGTCGAAAGAGTCTTTTAATGTAAAAAAAGTCTCTTTCGACTACAATTTTAATTACCTCGTCTCTTAAGCTGTTTTTGATTGTCGTCGAAATGTCAAAGCAATTAAATTAATGCGGAAGTACATCAAATTTTATTGTTTTTTAAAAAAATTTTAAAAAACCGCAATTATAACGACTAGAAAGTTTTTTTTTTAAATTAGTGGTGTTTTTGTTTTTGTTTTATTAAAAAACATTTTTAAAACATGCGTTAATGTTGCTACATCGACTATCTTACAGCCTGACTTGCAACGGAGTGCTGCTACATCGACTGACAAATAGCCTGACTCGCAAGGGAGTTCGCTACATCGACTGACAAATAGCCTGACTCGCAACGGAGTGCTGCTACATCGACTGACAAATAGCCTGACTCGCAAGGGAGTGCTGCTACGACGACTGACAAATAGCCTGACTCGCAAGGGAGTGCTGCTACATCGACTGAGGGTTTGGTTTGGGCACGCAGTCTATCAATTAAAAAAAAAATTTAAGTTTATTAATTTTTACTGGTCTGGTTTATTAACGCGCTCTTTAAAATTACAGTTTATGGGAAACTCTTTTTGACTACCATGCAAGAGTATATATATATACATATATATATATATATATATATATATATATATATATATATATATATATATATATATATATATATATATATATATATATATATATATATATATATATATATATATATATATATATATATATATATATATATATATATATATATATATATATATATATATTTATATTTATATTTATATGTATATATATATATATATATATATATATATATATATATATATATATAATATATATATATATATATATATATATATATATATATATATATATACATGTTTCAGGTGTTATTTTAGGCGCCCAAAGAGGTTCTAACAGTCATGTCACGCGGAAGTGCATTTAACCCGAAAGTTCACGCCTCACTCCTTTCCTTTAGTTGTTATATTTACTGGTAAAAATATTCACAATATATTTACTAGTAAATAATGTACACTTTATCTTAAATGATATAATATTAAGTGGAAGGCTCACTCTCATATAACCTGGTTAAAACAAAAAAGCTCAAAATATTTTTTCTTTTTCCCATCATTAAGATTTAAATTAGTTACAAATAACTGTCATCAACCACAACAACAACAGCAACAATATTTTTGTAATGACGGATTAAAGAAAAAAAAATTTGAGTAGTATCAAGGC